AGAAAGAATATTATTTGTTTATTTGTTTGTACATATATAATTAGTTATTTACTAATTATAAGAGTATCATATGTTAATTATATAATTATATATACTAATTAAGGGCTTGACGCGCAATTATATCGAGGACTTAACTGCAAGAAATGGAAACAAACAAAAAAAAAATTTAAAGCTCCATGCGCCACGGAGACTTCACTCCGTGGCGCACGGACACTTTTAATTATTTTTGTTTATTTCCATTTTTTTAGTTAAAATGCTTTTTATCTACCTCCTATAAAAGAGAGGATCCGATTTTCATTTTATAAAACAGAGAATCAGACTTACAATCGTAACCCCGTTTCTTCCTCCTTGTGCAAAATCCTCTACAGTGAGGAACCCTTGGAATTTGATATACCTTTTGCAAAAAATCATCCAACCTACGTTTTCATTGCCCGCGGCCGCGATTCAGCCTCATAATTCGATTCAGCCTCCGCGATTCAACCTTGTTCGATTCAGCCTGGTCATTCCAGTCCGCCACGCTGCCACCGCCATTCTGCCCACCACCAACCCCCAATCCAAAGGTCCGTTTTTCTTTGCTTTGCCTAAAGTTCAATCATTATCTGATTCTAGAATTTTAAATTTCGAAATATATTTGTGATTTTTTGATTTAGGTTTTTTTTTCCTTCCCCTCCAAACTCTTATTAATTTAGGTTTTGTTCGAGAAGGTTATATGTAAATTCGTTTCACCCTTTGTTGGTGTGCAATCCACGATTCATCGTTTAAATTTAATTTTACTTTCTAAACGTGCTTATTAATTAAACTGATTCTTCACATCGTTTTTACAGATGTCTTTGAAATACATACTTCCTCCAAATCAATGGTATTCTGCTACTATAACCCAATATCCAAATTATCAGTACCTACAAGATTTCGTAAACTTCATCAGTGAAGATCAACAATCAAATTTGATGTGTAGTAACTTCCATGCATTTATATATAGTATTCAGTAGTAAATTAGTTCACGAATTAGTGCTACGACTTGTCAACTGTGGGAAAAACAACGAACTCTGGGTGAAATTAGATGGCCATTGGCTCGGTTCAGTATGCAAGAATTTTGTCTGATAACTAGATTACCTTGCCACAATGTATTTATAGACGTCGACTTTAATAATGATAGACTCAGAAATCAGTACTTCAATGGTACCAAAAAAATTAAAATGTCAATGCTCTCTGAAGCATTTCATCAATGTGCAAATGAGGAGGATAAATTCAAACTCGGCCTGGTAATGTTCGTAGAATGTATCTTAAAACCTACTGGAAGACATATCGATCACAAAAGTTTAAGTATGGTTGAGAACATTCATGCCTTGCTTGCATATCCATGGGATCGTAAATCATATATTGTTTTACTAAACTCATTACAAGCATCTCATTTGGAAAGAGTACAGAGGATGCAACAAAACGAGCAAATTGAATCTAAATATGCATTACACGGATATCCACTTGCATTTCAGGTATTTTACTTTTACTCTCTAATTTTTACTCATGTATATTTAAATTAATTTATTCATAT